AAGAAATATTCAGAATACAATTTCGGAATACAGTAATTGTCTTTTATTTTCAATATTCAGTATTAACACTTTATAATTTACAACTAGTACTTTTAATTTTCATATTCAAGTTTCATTATAATCATTGATGATTCTATAATTGATGAAGAATAGCAATACTTTGTAAATGAACATATGCTTACTAATCAGCTTTTTTTTTTCAGAGAATTTTTGTGACCGCGCGCAATGCGGTTGGTAGAGTCAGTGTTTGTTGCGAAATATTTTAATATTTTTCTGAGCAGAATGGCTCTTATTAAATTAAATAATCAATTCATTCTAAATTACAATTCGCGAAGATAGAGTCAGTGAGTTCGCTGATTGTTACTTAAACGTGCGATAGTCTTTTATTTTTCTTTTTTGTATTTTCTTTTGTTCAATATTCGTTTTCGCTGTTAGAGTCAGTGCTCAAGAGGATAAGGCCTCTCCTGGAGATCAAAATCGTAAGTAGTTTTGTATATTCAATTTATTCAGTTTTGCTAATTTAACAACAAAGTATAATGTTTGATGTTTGTTACAGATTCTTCACAGCATCAATTTTTTTGCATTTTTTGGGAAAAATCCAACGGTGGCTCTAAAATCAAGAATGTAAGAATCTTTCATTATCTTCAACGTAAGATTTTGCTTTGCTTTTAAATATAAATTCTAATGTTTAATGTTCTGTTACAGATCTTCTTCATCGTCTCCACTTGCTCTAATTTTGCAAGAATCTTATGATGCTTCGAAAGCTAAAAATGTAAGTACTTTAGCATGTTGTATTCAAATTTCATTCTCTATAGCTCTCTCTCTCTTTCTATTGTTGAAGTTGAATGTAAAATTATAATTATAAAATAAAAACACTTCAAATTATTCCAATTTTTATTATTGTTAAAATTTAAATTTTCACAAATAACATTATGTCTTTAGAAAGAAAATGTTTTATTTTTTAAAGAAATTTTTCACGGCGTTCACTTCTGCTATGGGATTCTCAGTGTTATTTACTTGATGAGAGTCTTTATGATAACTTTCCCTGCTCCAGTGCAGCATCGGTGATAATGTTCTTCACATCTATCCGGTGAGTCGCAGCATTTATGTTCCTCCGGTCACTCAACCATGTCGTAGGATGAAAGGTCCGAATCGGCACGAGTGACTGGTTGTATACGAGAATTTTTGATGAGCATAGTGACCGCGGGTATTTTTCGTACCCGTGAGTAATAACATTTTTTCAGATTTTTTATGTATTAGATCAGGATAGAGCTTCTTGCACATCGCGATATTAACAATTAGAATATATACATTTATAGTAATTACTCATAAAATTAAAGTACTTTCAATATAGATGTTTGCAAAATAATGAAATATCCATACGAATAGATAAATTGTAAATAATTAAATTATTAAAACGCTTTTGTTTGAGCATTTCATAGTAGAGAA